GATGGAAGGAGGTTTTCACTCAAAATCTCACGATACATGGCCCCATTCATTCTTTCCTTTACACGGATCAGTCGTCCTGGTCCCTTTGCAGAAAAACAGCCCCAAAGCATGATGTTTCCACCCCCATGCTTCACAGTAGGTATGGTGTTCTTTGGATGCAACTCAGCATTCTTTATCCTCCAAACACGACGAGTTGAGTTTTTACCAAAAAGTTCTATTTTGGTTTCATCTGACCATATGACATTCTCCCAATCCTCTTCTGGATCATCCAAATGCACTCCAGCACACTTCAGGCGGGCCTGGACATGTACTGGCTTAAGCAGGGGGACACGTCTGGCACTGCAGGATTTGAGTCCCTGGCGGCGTAGTGTGTTACTGATGGTAGGCTTTGTTACTTTGGTCCCAGCTCTCTGCAGGTCATTCACTAGGTCCCCCCGTGTGGTTCTGGGATTTTTGCTCACCGTTCTTGTGATCATTTTGACCCCACGGGGTGAGATCTTGCGTGGAGCCCCAGATCGGAGGCTGAAGAAATTCAGCTTGGCACCTAAAACCCTCACAAACTTTTACAGATGCACAATTGAGAGCATCCTGTTGTATCACCACCTGGTACGGCAACTGCACCGCCCGCAACCGCAGGGCTCTCCAGAGTGTGGTGTGGTCTGCTGAACGCATTACCGGGGGCAAACTACCTGCCCTCCAAGACACATACAGCACCCAATGTCACAGGAAGGCCAAAAAGATCATTAAGGACATCAACCACCCGAGCCACTGCCTGTTCACCCCGCTATCATTCAGAAGGCGAGGTCAGTACAGGTGCATCAAAGCTGGGACCGAGAGAATGAAAAACAGCTTCTATCTCAAGGCCATCAGACTGTTAAATAGCCATCACTAGCACATTTGAGGCTGCTGCTGCCTATTGAAATTATTGGCCACTTTAAGAAATGGAACACTAGTCACTTTAATAATGAGTATGTATATACTGCATTCTATTCTATAATATTCTACTGTATCTTTGTCCATGCCGCTCTGTCATTGCTTGTCCATATATGTATATTTTTCTTAATTTCCATTCCTTACTAGTTTTGTGTGTTTTGGGTATATGTTGGGAAATTGTTAGATATTACTGCACTGTCGGAGCTAGAAGCACAAGCATTTCGCTACACCCGCTATAACATCTGCTAAACACGTGTATGTGACAAATAACATTTGATTTGATTAGATTTATCTGGTGTGACCACCATTTTCCTCATACAGCGTGACACATCTCCTTCGCATAGAGTTGATCAGGCTGTTGATTGTGGCCTGTGGAATGTTGTCCCACTCCTCTTCAATGGCTGTGCGAAGTTTCTGGATATTGGCTGGAACTGGCACACACTGTTGTACACGTTGATCCAGAGCATCCCAAACGTGCTCAATGGGTGACATGTCTGGTGAGTATGCAGGCCATGGAAGAACTGGGACATTTTTTTTTTTTTCATACTGGTCCCCCGTGGGAATCGAACCCACAACCCTGGTGTTGCAAGCACCATGCTCTACCAACTGAGCTACACGGGACAATCTCCCATATAGTGCACTACTTTTGACCTGAGCCTTATGTTTCCAGCCTGGGTGACCAGCTGCAGTGAGGAAGGGTTTTCATGCACAGCCTGAACGCCTGCCGGGCAGAAATATCAGCAGCAGCTCTCTGACCTCTCACTCTCCTATAACAGCCGCCTGTAAAACCGTGGTAAGTAACGCACCTGCAACAAGGCCAAGCATCTCCTCTTTCTAGTCTCTCCGATGCTGCCTGGCCAAATGGTGCAGAAACACGTGTGTGTGTCTTGGGATGTTTTAGGTTGTAGTGTGTTTGTGTGTGTTTGTGTTCGTCTGTGTGCACATATGTGTGTGAAGGTAGTGAGGACTGAGGGTTATGGTGGTGGATGAATGGCATGACAATGTGCCTCAGGATCTCGTCACGGTATCTCTGTGCATTCAAACTGCCATCGATAAAGTGTAATTGTGTTCATTGTCCGTAGCTTATGCCGGCCCATACCATAACCCCACTGCCACTATGGGGCACTCTGCAAACCGCTCTCCCACACAACGCCATACATGCTCTCTACTATCTGCCCGGTACAGTTGATACCGGGATTCGTCCGTGAAGAGCACACTTCTCCAGCATGCCAGTGGCCATCGAAGGTGAGCATTTGCCCACTTATGTCAGTTACGACGCCTAACTGCAGTCAGGTCAAGTCCCTGGTGAGGATGACAAGCACGCAGATGAGCTTCCCTGAGACGGTTTCTGACAGTTTGTGGAGAAATGATTCGGTTGTTCAAACCCACAGTTTCATCAGCTGTCTGAGTGGCTGGTCTCAGATGATCCCGCAGGTGAAGAAGCCGGATGTGGAGGTCCTGGGCTGGCGTGGTTACGCGTGGTCTGCTGTTGTGCTGCCGGTTGGACATACTGCCAAATTCTCTAAAACGATATTGGTAGAGAAATGGTGGAGAAATGAACATTAAATTCTCTGGCAACAGCTCTGGTGGACATTCCTGCAGTCAGCATGCCAATTGCACACTCCCTCAAAACTTGAGACATCTGTGGCATTGTATTGTGTGACAAAACTGCACATTTTAGAGTGGCCTTTTATTGTACCCAGCTCCAGTTGCACATGTGTAATGATCATGCTGTTTAATCAGCTTCTTGATATGCCACACCTGTCAGGTAGATGGATTATCTTGACAAAGGAGAAATGCTCACTAACAGGGATATAAACATATTTTAGATACTTTTTAGATACTTTTTTTTTGTGCGTATGGACAATTTCTGGGATCTTTTATTTCAGCTCATGAAACATGGGATCAACACTTGACATGTTGCTTTCATATTTTTTCTTCAGTATATATCTTATAAGCTGGTAATCACTGGTCTGACACAAATAACAACAGAGCAGGCAATATTTATTAGTCATTCTGTTTTTACATCATTTAAATTATTTGGGTATCCAGCTTCTGTGCCTTTTTGGCACCACAATTGACAATACAGTACACAAAAAATTATTGTATTTATTATTTACAGTACAGTCCCCACCCCTACCACCAGAGGTCACCCTTATCATTATGCTCTAATCTATTAAATTACAGTACAGTAATGTGTTATCTACTTTCATTAACAAGGTTTTCTTTTCAACATTCATAAATTACACAATAAAGCAGACAAACATAGCATAAATGTATTGATTATGTACATTACATTACAGATCCACACTGGGTGTTATCATGCAGGTTTTCTATGTGTTGATTGTGGAACTCACTGGAGAATGGTGGTTGAATGGAGATCTCTTCCTGAACTCTTACTGCTAGAAGGAAAGTGAGGGAGAAAAGGAAGGAACATTAACTTCCATTTATCAGCAGTGACACATCATAAAGACTTCACAAACAACACATCCTTTTTTTTATTTTTTTTTATTTATTTTTTTACAGTATTGCAATCAAATGGTCTAACCAACGCAAAGTTACCATTATCTTAGTATCATAGGTACTCTTGAAGTCCTGCATTTCATAATTTGGGACAAAAGGAGAAGTAAAAGACTGCAGAACATAGAAGGCAACAGCTACACAAAAAGTTGCCATGACAAAATATGAAACCTCAAAGTCCTAAACAAACTTTTACAGCGATCATATGTTAATGAATAACATGAAAGGGCCAGAGACTGAAGAGTTGTCATTAAGTCAAACTAAAACTTCCTGGAAAAATATATAATAGGCAAACAGACTTTGCATACAATATTTTTCACACTGCAATTCCTGTTAAGCAAAGTAATCTTGTTTATTACAGGCTGTAGTAGAATACAGACGTGCACAGACACATCCCAGGGGTGACCATGTTTTACTTACTGTCAGGGGTAGAGGTGGAGATAGATTTTGTTGTGTGTTGTCACGCACAGGTGATGGGTTCTCATACACAGGTGATGGGTTCTCATACACGGGTGATGGGTTCTCATACAAGGGTGATGGGTTCTCATACACAGGTGATGGGTTCTCATATACATTTTGTTGAGAGCCTTTAAGAGATACACAAATAGAGGTGGTTGCATAGTTGCTGCTATCTTGTTTGCATTTGTCTGCATACGCATTGTTACAGTATTAAGCATCGTCACAGTGGTGTTGTACTATATCATGTAATTTGTCTGAATCCATTTCATTCTTCCATGGAAACTGCAAATCACTCTGGATAAGAGCATGTGCTAAATGACCATTTTAATGTAAATGGAGAAAACAAATGTTTGAAAAACATGATTAATTATATGATTGGAGATAAAGCATATGCTTACCTCCTCGATGCATTGGGTCAGCATTGCTTCTATATACAACAAGAAATAAACATGGAAAGGTATAATGAAATAATATTACAGTGCTTTTAACAGTTTACAGTGAAGTTATAAGAACATAATATTACAGTGCTTTTGAAATACACGCAGGCCCTTTTTCTGACCATTTTAGATCAATGTGAAAACAGAGCCTATATTGTCTACTACCTGCAGTGATAGAAAATACACTTGTTTAAATGAAAAGTTTCTTAACTCACCCCTTTTCCTTGATGAAATAGACTGCAACACTAACTGCCACTTCCAGAACCAGCAACACTATAATCACAATCCCAGTGATGGCAACAGTAGACAGCCCACCTGGAGTTAGAGAGCCCTCCGTTGCAGAGACCAGGGAGAGACCCATACAGAGATGAGAGAAAGGCTACACACAATGAACAATCAGTACTGCACATTACAGTGCATCTAGGTGACAACACAACAAACACAACAAAAAGGCACTATTTCAAAACAAGTTTGGAATGCAAAACTTCATAAGTATAACTTTTTTTCTTCTACTAGCACTGACTTTTCTGATAGTTACTTTATTGAGGAAAAATGTACTTACTATGACTGAGATATTTGGTTATCCCACATAGCTTTCTTAATGCACTAATTGTAAGTCGCTCTGGATAAGAGTCTCTGCTAAATGGCTAAAATGTAAATGTAACTTTTATCTCTTACTATATTCATGTTGTCTTTAAAGTGCCATTAAACTCCTACAACTTATCCAGAACGCCGCAGCTCGTCTGGTGTTCGACCTTCCCAAGTTCTCTCATGTCACCCCGCTCCTCCGCACACTCCACTGGCTTCCAGTTGAGGCTCGCATCTACTACAAGACCATGGTGCTTGCCTACGGAGCTGTGAGGGGGAACGGCACCTCCTTACCTTCAGGCTCTGATCAGACCCTACACCCAAACGAGGGCACTATGTTCATCCACCCCTGGCCTGCTAGCCCCCCTACCTCTACAGAAGCACAGTTCCCGCTCAGCCCAGTCAAAGCTATTTGCTGCTCTGGCACCCCAATGGTGGAACAAGCTCCCCCATGACGCCAGGACAGCGGAGTCACTGACCACCTTCCGGAGACACTTGAAACCCTACCTCTTTAAGGCATACCTGGAGTACTATAAAGTAATCCTTCTACCCCCCCCCACCCCCCCCCCCACCCCCATAAAAAAAAGAAGAAAAAAAGTGCTTGTCCCACTTGCTATCATAAGTTGAATGCACCAATTTGTAAGTCGCTCTGGATAAGAGCGTCTGCTAGATGATGTAAATGTAAATATAAATGTAAAGATTCTGCTTACTTTACCTTTTACTGACAGTTTATGGACCTCAGATGTGTTGTTCCCAGTGACATCATTTGTTGCTGTACAGGTGTAATCCCCACTGTCAGAGTATTTACTCTTCTCTTTAGTGAACTCAGGTGAATGTCCAGGTATCTCTGTTCCATTAAGCATCCATGTGTAACTAGCAGGGGGGTTGGAGTCAGCAGAGCAGGTCAATGTTAACTGCTGTCCTAGTTCTATTTCAGTTGGACCCTTGATTTCCATACCATCAGGTCCATCTGTAACACAGAGATCACCAGTTAGTCATAGCTACAAGTGTATTAGTTTGTAATCAGTGTGACGTTGGAGTCATAATGGTTGGTGTAAAGTTTGTGTTCATTCATTGTTATATTATTTTCACGTACACCTGTTGATGGTACAGTTGGTACATTTATCTGGTTTATCCTGGGTATTTATCTCCAGGCTTATAGGGAAGTACTTACAGATTACATTCACAGTGTCACTGGCATTTGTAGAGCTGACAGGGTTTCTGACTGTGCACATGTATTCTCCACTGTCTGTTCTCTTCACAGGGTTTATGGACAGCACTCTCTTAACCTCAGAGATGATGATATTGTCACCAGAAGACAAAGGATGATCATCCTTCATCCACTCTCTGGTGATGTTGAAGCCAGCAGCATCACAGATTAAGGTGACAGAGCCCCACTCAATGATTGGTGGGTTTGGGGTAATTGTGATAGTAGCACCAGATACTGTTTCTGTGAAATGAGTACAAGATGAGATAATACTAATTAATGTGGTTTGGAAATGAAGAATAGTTGAAACAGGTTCGTTTTATGTTCATGTTGCACAGTGGTGGAAAAAGTACCTAACTGTAATACTTGAGTAAAAGTAAAAGTCCCTTAATAGAAAATGGTTTGAAATATACTTAAGTATCAAAAGTAGATGTAATTACTAAAATATACTTAAGTATCAAAAGTAAAAGTAAATCATTTCACATTCCTTATATTAAGCAAACCAGATGGCACAATTTTGTTATTTTAATTTACGGATAGCCAGGGGCACACTCCAATACTCAAACATAATTTACAAACAAAGCATTTGTGTTTAGTGAGTCCACCAGATCAAAGGCAGTAGGGATGACTAGGGATATTCTCTTGATAAGTGCGTGAGTTGGAAAATTTTCCTGTCCTGCTAACCATTGGAAATGTAATGAGTATTTTTGGGTGTCAGGGAAAATGTAGGGAGTAAAAAGTACATTATCTTCTTCAGGAATGTAGTGGAGTAAAGTTCTCAAAAATATAAATAGTAAAGTAATGTATCGATACCCAAAAGTACTTTAAAGTATTTGTACTTAAAAAATGTACACCACTGATGTTACATTACCATGGACAGGCACGGAGCTCGAGTATCAGCGCAGATGGGGCAGGGCGCTCTCGAGGGGTCCTTAGCAAATCTTTTAAAATTAATAGTTGATATGCCCCATCATAAAAGCAAATTAGGCTGTTAGTAGGTTATTTCATTATCTAATTTATTTATAACACGCGCTACCGCATACCGCATACAGAGCCTAGTTTGAGCGAAGCGAGAGCTCACAGCTCATTAATCATGTATTCTTATAATCCCAGTCATTGTGCAACATTTCTCGCAATCGTGTGTGAAAATAGAGTTTTACGTTATAGCCTATTATGACGCATGTCTAACCTTGCTTCAAAGTAGCCTATAGCCAATATCCGACCATAGAAACGTTTAGGGAATAATTGTATAAATATTCCTCATATGCCATTGAAACCAACATTTCTCTCTTGTTCTATATTTCTATATCAACTTTCTATCATTGTCCAGAAGCCAAAGGCACAATCCTAAACTCTTAGAAAAAAGGGTTCCAAAAGGGTTCTATGGCTGTCCCCATAGGATAACCCTTTTTGGTTCCAGGTAGAACCCTTTTTGGTTCCATGTAGAACCCTCTGTGGAAAGGTTTCGACATGGAACCAAAAAATGTTCTTCAAAGGGTTCTCCATTGGGTACAGCTGAAGAACCCTTTCAAGTTATAGATAGCCACCTTTTTTTCTAAGAGTCATATTAGCAACCCATCCTAGTTGTTGCATCTTTAGATTTCCACTCATTCTAAGTTTCTAACAGAGATTTTCACCTCTGTCACATGAAACCGCTGGCATCAGTTGCCGTTTACAATGGTGTTTTCCCACTAATTGCATTTGGAAAATGTTTGGAAATTATGTCGCCTAATACATTGCCTGCTTCATTACAGTAGCTGCATGTTCAATAATGGCCTATAGCCTCTTGGCTGTGAGACGATTGAAAATATTCACTATGAACATTGAAAAGGCTTGGCTAAGCAATCTGTTTTCATTTAATATTATTGTAGAATCATTTTATATAAATAAATAAAATGTTGTTTTGGTGCTGTATAAATTGGACTATTAGTAGTTTTAAACTAACAAACTTACTAAATAAATGAATAATCATTTTGAAGACCCTGGTCCCTCCCAGCAGCAGCCAGCCACCAGCCCAGGCAGCTGCCAGTCCCAGGCCAGGGGGGCCCTCAAGGGGGTACAGCGATAGACAGCTGTACATTGCTTTATAAAATAAGCAACACCAGCTCAGACCAATTCCAGGATTTAATGAAATCGTATAATATATTGTACTATATATACATTTTGCCATGTTTTACAGTGTCAAATAATGTTATTTCTTTGGTTTTTGGTACATCATCGTTGAAAACATGTATTAAATGTTTATATGCAGGAACAGGGGGCCCCTAGGTGTGTGGGCCCTGGGGTGGTCACCAGGGTTGCGGTCAATTCCATTTAAATTCCAGTAAATTCAGGAAGTACACTTCATTTCTAATTCCAATTCTCTTCCATGGTTTTCAATTAGTAAAAATGTAAATTTGAATTGGAGTTTGGTTCACTTTTTGAATTGACTGGAATCTAAATGGAATTGACGCCAACCCTGGTGGTCACACCCATGGCCCTCCCACTAGCTCTGCTTCTGACCATGGATCATGTATGTAGTAGAGTGTCAAGAGATATCCATCAAATAAATTGTAACTGCACCATTAAAGACTAGAGTAACTGCATTTCAACAAGCACATTAGTTTTTTTGTTATATATTGTTTTTATGAATGGAAGTACATTATATTCACATTAGTTGACAACTCAATACAATATCAATGCATATTTATCATTCAGTGACATCTTTTGGAACTCAGGGGGTACTCACCATAGACATTCAGTGAAGTATCTGCCAACTGCATAAGATCAGACTCTCCTATGATCACTCTGTATTCTCCACTGTCAGCCAGGGTCAGTTTCCTGAGCTCCAGAGATCCAGTGCTATTGTCCAGACTGATCCTACCAACATATCCCGCTCTGGTCACAGGACCTTCAGAACTGAGAAAGTCAACAATGGTTACAGTGGGATCACCAAATGTCCAATAGATTGTACTAAGTGTGGTTGGATTGATGGTGGTTTTGAAAATCACATTTCCTCCCAATGTTCCATTCACAGGTCCAGGTGGAAGCACTTCTAGACCAGCACAATATCCTGAGGAAACAATAACAGGGCTTGATAATCATGTCTCCAAAACAAACACAAAATGCTGTAATCAAAGACATAAGTGGAATGTTTTCAAATAAGTTCTTAAACGCTCTAATAAAATATTTATTTTATCAAGAACATTTTTGAAGCCACTATGGTAGCCACTGTGCCTAGTGGAATAACGATATTTTGTGAGAGAAAATGTTAAGCAGCATTTGTCACCACCTGAAAGGGATAGTTCACCCAAATTACAAAATGACATATTGGATTCTTTACCATGTAAGCCATCTATGGACAAGGTCTGACAGCAATCCGTTAAACATTTAATTAAATGTGTATGGCTTTAGAGATGGATATGAACATAATTGAAACTACATCTATGACTATTGACAAAGAACCTGCTATTTATTGAAGAACAATTCCTACTGTCATGGGAGAGGACAATAATATATTACATTAACACAGAATTCATGGTCCTAACATTTCAGAAGGATCAAGAAAGGGTTTGGAAATTATGACATTTTTTACCCCTTGGTGTCAGAATTGACCCCATGTTGGTGCTTTTAGGGTTAACCTATGTGTGGCTGTATTTTATTGAGTGCAGCAGATATGGTCTCACCTGAGAGTATTGCCATGGTAAGAAAGACAACAGCAGATGCCACCATCTCTTCTGATGTAACAAATGTCTGCGATTCAGACTAGTTCTGTCCCTACAAATAAGTATTGCATAGGAGACAGGGCTTCAATAAAAGCGGTCTACAGTAACACCAAAACCTGATATGAGGAAGAAATATTGAGATAAAATGTTTTGATGATTTACATCACTGCATGAAGGAACAAATGACCACACTCCACTGTTGGAACACTACAATCCACCTCCACTTCGACTAATAAGGAAGCTGTGTGGGGTTTTACATTCACTGAGTCTGTTGCCCTCTATTGCTTTGCAGGCTTTGACTGATAAACATAGTGGACTTTGGTCTTGAGGTATTTTCTGATAATAGATTATATATTCTATATAATAAAGGTTTGTGCTTTATACTCCTTCTCTAACACTGACATCACTATAGGATCACTTAGAACCAACACCCAGCTTTGTATGAATTAATGAACTGAATGTAATTAGGTCATATCAACATACTACTGGTCACACTTGACACAAAGAACAACAAGGTTGATGGAGAAAAGCAATTGTTATTATTAATTCTGTTTTTACATCATGTAAAGCAATACATTATTCCAGCTTCTTTGCCTTTTTGACTCCACACTTTACAATACAGTGTTCTATAAATACTTGACTATTTACATTATGTTGTTAACATTACATCCTCCACATGCTTTGATCAGTTACTGTATTGTTGTTATCTACTTTACTGAACAAGGTTTTGCTTTTCAATATGAATAAAGTACACAAAAAAGCAGATTATCAAACATAAGATATATGTATTGATTATGTACATTATATCACATATACACACTGGGTGTTATCATGCAGGTTTTCTATGTGTTGATGATGGATTTAACTTGTTTGCTGGAGGTGGTGTGGAAGACCAAACTAAATGAAACATATATTATATATATAGAAATGTTTGACCATACTGGTTCTAGATATGTGCCAAAATGCTGATCAACATTACAAATGTGTGTAAACTATTCCTTTAATGAACTCTGCAATAAATAAATAAAACAGAACTAAAGTTAAGGTTGGGCATTTGTCATCTCTAGTGTGTGGTTTTTACACTAGTGTGTGGTTTTTGGACACTGAAGTTTTGACACGTTTTGGCTTGCACTCTGTAACTGGCCACTTACGGCCATATAGGGGCCTTTTCCTATCTATGCAGTGGTGGTTGACATTAGTGTGTACGGCTGCTAGAATCCTGACTAGAACCAAGAAATTTGATCATATTACTACAGTGCTAGCTTCCCTACACTGGCTTCCTGTTAAGGCAAGGGCTGATTTCAAGGTTTTACTGTTAACCTATAAAGCGTTACATGGGCTTGCTCCTACCTATCTTTCCGAGTTGGTCCTGCCGTACATACCAATACGTACGCTACGGTCACAAGACGCAGGCCTCCTAATTGTCCCTAGAATTTCTAAGCAAACAGCGGGAGGCAGGGCTTTCTCCTATAGATCTCCATTTTTATGGAACAGTCTGCCTACCCATGTGAGAGACGCAGACTCGGTCTCAACCTTTAAGTCTTTACTGAAGACTTATCTCTTCAGTAGGTCCTATGATTGAGTGTAGTCTGGCCCAGGAGTGTGAAGGTGAACGGAAAGGCTCTGGAGCAACGAACAGCCCTTGCTGTCCTCTGCCAGGCCGGTTCCCCTCTCCACTGGGGTTCTCTGCCTCTAACCCTGTTGCAGGGGCTGAGTCACTGGCTTGCTGGTGCTCTTTCATGCCGTCCCTGGGAGGGGTGCGTCACTTGAGTGGGTTGAGTTACTGACGTGATCTTCCTGTCTGGGTTGGCGCCCCCCCCTTGGTTTGTGCTGTGGTGGAGACCTCTGTGGGCTATACTCGGCCTTGTCTCAGGATTGTAAGTTGGTGGTTGAGGATATCCCTCTAGTGGTGCGGGGGCTGTGCTTTGGCAGAGTGGGTGGGGTTATATCCTTCCTGTTTGGCCCTGTCCGGGGGTTTCTTCGGATGGGGCCACAGTGTCTCCGGACCGCTCCTGTCTCAGCCTCCAGTATTTATGCTGCAGTAGTTTATGTGTCGGGGGGCTGGGGTTAGTTGGTTATACCTGGAGTACTTCTCCTGTCTTATCCAGTGTCCTGTGTGAATTTAAGTATGCTCTCTCTAATTCTCTCGTTCTCTCTTTCTCTCTGAGAACCTGAGCCCTAGGACCATACGTCAGGACTACCGGGCATGATGACACCTTGCTGTCCCCAGTCCGCCTGGCCTTGCTGCTATTCCAGTTTCAACTGTTCTGCCTGCGGTTACGAAACCCCTACCTGTCCCAGACCTGCTGTTTTCAACTCTTAATGATCGGCTATGAAAAGCCAACTGAGAGACCTGAGCCCTAGGACCATACGTCGGGACTACCGGCCGTGGTGACTCCTTGCTGTCCCCAGTCCGCCTGGCCTTGCTGCTATTCCAGTTTCAACTGTTCTGCCTGCGGTTATGGAACCCCTACCTGTCCCAGACCTACTGTTTTCAACTCTTAATGATCGGCTATGAAAAGCCAACTGAGATTTATTCCTGATTATTATTTGACCATGCTTGTCACTTATGAACATTTTTGAACATCTTGGCATGGTTCTGTTATAATCTTCACCCGGCACAGCCAGAAGAGGACTGGCCACCCCTCATAGCCTGGTTCCTCTCTAGGTTTCTTCCTAGGTTTTCGCCTTTCTAGGGAGTTTTTCCTAGCCACCGTGCTTCTACACCTGCATTACTAGCTGTTTGGGGTTTTAGGCTGGGTTTCTGTACAGCACTTCGAGATATTAGCTGATGTAAGAAGGGCTATATAAAATAAAATTGATTGATTGATTGAGTGTGAGAGTTATTCAGAGATGTGTGTGGTAAATGTATGTCTGCATCTTTCTCAAAGGCTTTTCAATTATGTTGTTCACACCATGAGAAACTGGTGATCCCTATTGCAGGGTTTCCCAAACTCAGTCCTGGGGCACCCCCTTGGTGCACGTTTTGGTTTTTACCCTGGCACTACACAGCTAATTCAAATAATCACATTTGATGGTGAGCTGGGCAGGAGGACTGAACTCTGTTGAGCAGGACATAGTGAGGTCAGACCAGAGACATTAGAGAAAGCGAGACACCCCACTACCTCATTTGTTTTAGGTCAGGGTGGGGCCACTCTGGTCTACTTTTGCCCCCGCCACACGGGCGCACGCAAGAGAGGGAACGCCCAATTACATTTTTTCCAATGGTAAACTGCCTGAGTAAGACATCTTAATTCATCCATGTTTGTTCTGACCCTGATCCATACAGTACATCTACATTTAAGTTATCGACAGATTCAAACCAGCGACCTTTCGACCTTTTGGCCCAACGCTCTTAACCGCTAGCCTACCTAACGCCCTAAAGGGGTCTAGAGGGGTTATCTAGAGGGGTCACCTTCATTGTGGTGTTTTCTGAACCTCTGCGACACATTTGAAAACCATTGTAAGCCCAATAAAACATCAATGTCCAATCAATGTCACGGTCAAGACCAAGAGGCAAAATTCAACCAGCTAGAGTGTTCAACAAGTGTAGGTCATATGAGCCTGTAGAATAATTTGAGGAGTAATTGGATAAAACATACAGTTGCATTTAGTTTGTTAATGAAAATGGACTCACAGCTGATAGTGAGGGTTAGAGGCTGGCTGGTTCCATTACTGACGTGGTCGAACCAATTATATGTATTAATCCTAGATGACTGACAAGGGGGCCGCTGTTTTGAAACCATTGCGCAGGCATTTTGGTACTCCTCCATAGTAAAACATATTTTGGAAGCTATAGAAATCCATTTATTATTGCCTACATTCATTTTTGACAAGTATATTCTATTTCAGACACCTTAATGCATACTTATTTATATTATGTGAATTGAACAACAACTAAAAAAAATATAAAACATATTACTTAAAGGATTTTTTTGGGAGAGTACTAAGGTTACTGTCTCCACTACAACAAATAAATACTTAAATACATGTAATTTTGTCCTTGAAACATTTTATTGAAATACTGTAGAATTTCATTCATTCCTATGGAGGATTGCTCCTTCTGAGGAGTTCCAATATGGTGGCAGGTGGATTCAAAGCCTCTCATTGGCCATTACATGGCATCAGCAATACAGGGTTTATACACATCATTGGGTTGAACACGGTACAGCTGAATGGTCACGGGTCATACCAGGTCACACTGACTATGGCGAGAGTTTCCATCAACAAGCTGAACTCCATCACTGGCTGTGGCCTCAGAGCTGCCATTCAGCCAGTGGTAAGAGAGGGAGGAGGCAGAGGAGGAGCAGGACAAACTGACAGAGCTGTTGAACTCCACTAAATCTGTGTTGTAGGGAGTTATTGTCATGTTGCAGACTCGCTCTGTGGGTTAAAAACAGAATAACTACCTTCTCTTTGCATAGAAGATAATTTCTGAAGAATGTACCTTTTCTGAACACATTGTTTCATCATACACTACTAACTAAAATGCATGAGATCATTAGAAACAAATGAGGTGGATAAATGCCACTGTGCCCAGACAACTGACTGGATTTGAGAAACAGCAGCTCATTAAACTGTAAATGTCAAACAGCTACACCCTCTCATGGCCTGAACATATACAATCTATACAGATTCTTGGATGTTTCTGATTTCACCACAGAGGGAAAGTGTACTTTATTTTAAAACAATTTCCTACATTTCCTAGATCTAAATCAGTAGTACTCACCATATACCTCCAGTCTTGTTTCCCCACTCAGCAGTGATCCTTCTTTAAGAAAAGGCTTACTTTGTATTTTGTACCCGTCAACAGGGCCAGGACCCTGAGTTCAAGAGATCCAGTGGTTTTGTCCAGAGTGATCCTGTCTTCATATCTAGGCCTGATGTTGTCATGAGTGATGGTACGATGATTACATTGAGGACACATTCTCCTCTGGATCAACCGTTGAGGTGAATGTGACATTTTCTTTTACCTCAGCAACCATCTGGTAAGAAGACCCCGGAGAGACAACAGAACAGATTTGGGTATTTCTTCATAATGTATTTTACATGCACATGACAGGAGTGATCCTGTCACTGTATCCCAGTTCATTGGTGTCAGAGGACAGTTTATTACATTGGTACCAATAACTTTCAAGACTACTGATGTAAATGGATGAGATGTTAGCATATTGTGGTTTACATTCTCTCCTACAGCTCAATGTACAGCTTCAGAGGGAAACATGTTGGCTTGCCCGAATGATGGCAATTATAAATAATTAATTGAGTGTCCTTTTTTATTATGAGTCAAACAGCAGTCCATGAAGTCAGTCAATTAAAGGATGACATTATGCAGAAGCAAATTGTTAGATCAAGGTTATCAACAGTTGAACAGGAAATTCCTAGAAGATGTAGATGATGGCCCTTACACCGTACTCTCCCCTGTCCTTATGTAAACAATTCAGTGTCCCTCTTTGACTTCCTTCTTTCTGTAATTTGCTGAGAACAGCAGGTAAAAACTCACCTGTGAGTATTGCCATGGTGAAAATGATTACTGCAGCTGCTTCCGTGTCAAGTGTCTCTGAAAAAAGAGTGAATCTGCCCATAATTTACCATGGCGAGGATAAAGTGTCATTCAGTACAGGGACTAATTGGGTAATTTGATGGTTACATCACAAAGAGTTGGGTTATTTGATGGTTACGTCACTGTAGATTCCACAGTGATGTAACCATCAAATAACCCAACACTTTAGGAGTCCCTGTACTGAATGAACGACACTGTAGAACGCCAGCTCTGTAGTAATTTATTAACTGAATGTCAGAAGGTCACATCCACATGATATGTCAGAAGGTCACATCCACATGATGTATGGCAACAAATAATTAGTCTCTTATCAGAAGAAGCTCTCCACATAGAAAAGCCTAAATATCATAAACTAACAATATATGAATAATCTTACAGCCATATACATTTACATTGTCAGAATTGTAGGTGTTCTTAACAATAAAGTGTTGGTATACTAATATTTATGTGAATCAATAGGGAATCTTTAGGTTATGTTTTAGGCTGGTAATTACACTTCACAGTACATTATTGGTCACACTTGACACCGAGAACAAAATAATTGATGGAAAATATCTGGCAATGTAAATTAATGAGTTGCGCCCCCCCTCTTTCCCTCAGAACAGCCTCAATTCATCGGGGCTTGGCTTACAACCTGGAATTAAGATGGATTTTTGGGGGGTTTGTATCGTTTGATTTACACAACATGCCTACCACTTTGAAGATGCAAAATATGTTTTCTTGACATAAGACAATAAAACAGAACCCCCCCCCCCCCAACCCCCCCCCCCTATAAGCTTGGCACATCTAGCCACTGGGATATTTGCCCATTCTTCAACGCAAAACTGCTCCAGCTCCTTCAAGTTGGATGGGTTCCGCTGGTGTACAGCAATCTTTAAGTCATACCACAGATTCTCAATTGAATTGAAGTCTGGGCTATGACTAAGCCATTCCAAGACATTTAAATGTTTCCCCTTAAACCCCTCAAGTGTTGCTTTAGCAGTATGCTTAGAGTCATTGTCCTGCTGGAAGGTGAACCTCCGTCCCAGTCTCAAATCTCTGGAAGACTGAAACAGGTTTCCCTCAAGAATTTCCCTGTATTTAGCGCCATCCATCATTCCTTCAATTCTGACCAGTTTCCCAGTCCCTGACGATGAAAAACATCCCCACAGCATGATGCTGCCACCACCATGCTTCACTGTGGGGATGGTGTTCTCTGGGTATTGAGAGGTGTTGGGTTTGTGCCAGACATAGCGTTTTCCTTAATGGCCAAAATGCTCAATTTTTGTCTCATCTTCTTCCATATGTTACACTCTCATTCCAAGATGGCGTAGCAGTGGGGTCGCTTTTATTTTTCGTCCTGTGTAAATATCCCGTTTCTTGTTTTTTTGTCTATATTTCTCAATTTTTTACTTTCATTCTTTAACTAAATATACTTTCCTGCAACCCGCCTCACCCAACGTGGAAAGGATTCTATTATTTCTTTATAACTTTCATCAAGAACCGTAAGCTGAAAATAGTGGCTACCTGTTATTAGTCACCGTTAGCGTCTTCACCATTGTCCGTGGCCTACACTATCCACCAGCCAGCTCTAGCTCTAGCCTGGACAATTCGTCGGCCAGTCTGCACAGCGTGCTATCGACCCAGCGTGCTATCGACCCAGAGCTTATTGGACTTTCTGCCGGAATCACTGGACCCTAGCGCCGGATCATCACAACCAGCTAGCTAGCTGCAACCTGTTGTTGGCTGATTACCATTACCATTGCCCTATAGCAAGCACCAGTTAGCCTTGAGCTAGCCTCAGGCCCATCTCCCGGCTATCTACCTCTCTGTCAACCGGACGGGACCTCCTAGTGTTGACACTGAGCCCCGCCGATCCAACACGACTGGTTTGCCGACGAAATAGTCTGATGTGGTTTCAACAGGCTTCCCGTTGCGACGACCACGAAGATCCATCTGCCACCCCCGGCCCGCTAGCACACGCAAACCACAACTGTGCTCCCTGCTAGCTGTGCTGAAGCACCTATTTGAACTGCTCTCGGACTCACATATTGCTGTTCACTGGACCTTATGATCACTCAGCTGCACAGCTGATGCCTGCTGGACTGTTCCTTTACACGGTACCCTGTCCTGTTTATTCTGTTTAGTCTTAGCCCAAACGTTATCGCTATTTCCAGTTGTGTCTTAGCTCTCTCTAATAACACATGTGACTGCTTTATGCCTCTCTCCCATGTCAATTATGCCTTGCCTATTGCTGTTTGGGTTAGTTCTTATTATACAATTTCAATGTAGAACCCCTAGTCCCTCTCAAACTGCCTCATACAGTTCCTTTGTTCCCCCCCCCATACACGCCGAGACCGGCTCAATCGATGCCTCCAATGACGCTATCTCTTTCATTGTTACCCAACGCTTAGGGTTACCTGAACTGTACTCATATCCTTCCATATCCTTTTCTGTACATAATGCCCTGAATCTTTTCTACAACGCCCGGAGAACTGCCCCCTTTATTCTATGTACCCAACGCACTAGAAGACCAGTTCTTAAAGCCTTTAGTCGTATCCTTATTCTAGTCCTCCTCTGTTCCTCTGGTGATGTAGAGGCTAACCCAGGCCCTGCAGCCCCCAGTATCACTCCTACTCCCCAGGAGCTATCATTTGTTGACTTCTGTAACCGTAAAAGTCTTGGTTTTCTGCACATAAATATCAGAAGCCTCCTTCCTAAGTTTGAGTTATTCACTGCGTTAGCACACTCCGCCAACCCTGATGTTCTAGCAGTGTCTGAATCCTGGCTTAGGAAGGCCACCAAAAATTCTGAAATTTCCATCCCCAACTATAACATTTTCCGTCTAGATAGAACTGCCAAAGGGGGTGGAGTTGCAATCTACTGTAGAGATAGCCTGCAGAGCTCCATCATACTATCCAGGTCTGTGCCCAAACAGTTTGAGCTTCTACTTCTAAAAATCCACCTTTCCAGAAATAAATCTCTCACTGTTGCCGCTTGCTACAGACCCCCCTCAGCCCCCAGCTGTGCCCTGGACACCATATGTGAATTGATCGCCCCCCATCTATCCTCAGAGTTCGTACTGCTTGGTGACCTAAATTGGGATATGCTTAACACCCCGGCCATCCTACAATCTAAACTAGATGCCCTCAATCTCACACAAATAATCAACGAACCTACCAGGTACAACCCTAAATCCGTAAACATGGGTACCCTCATAGATATCATCCTGACTAACTTACCCTCTAAATACACCTCCGCTGTCTTCAACCAGGATCTCAGCGATCACTGCCTTATTCCCAAAAACACTTCAGCGAGCAGGCCTTCCTAATTGACCTGGCCCAGGTATCCTGGATGGATATAGATCTCATTCCGTCAGTAGAGGATGCCTGGTTGTTCTTTAAAAGTAATTTCCTCTCAATCTTAAATAGACATGCCCCATTCAAGAAATACAGAACTAAGAACAGATATAGCCCCTGGTTCTCCTCAGACTTGACTGCCCTTGACCAGCACAAAAACATCCTGTGGCGTACTGCATTAGCATCAAATAGCCCCCGCGATATGCAACTTTTCAGGGAAGTTAGGAACCAATATACACAAGCAGTTAGGAAAGCAAAGGCTAACTTTTTCAAACAGAAATTTGCATCCTGTAGCACTAACTCCAAAAAGTTTTGGGACACTGTAAAGTCCATGGAAAATAAGAGCACTTCCTCCCAGCTGCCCACTGCACTGAGGCTAGGAAACACTATCACCACCGATAAATCTACAATAATCGAGAATTTCAACAAGCATTTTGCTACGGCTGGCCATGCTTTCCACCTGGCTACCACTACCCCGGCCACCAGCTCTGCACCCTCCGCTGCAACTTACCCATGCCCCCCCCCGCTTCTCCTTCACACAAATCCAGACAGCTGATGTTCTAAAAGAGCTGCAAAATCTGGACCCCTACAAATCATCTGGGCTAGACAATCTGGACCCTTTCTTTCTAAAACTAGCCGCCGAAATTGTCGCAACCCCTATTACTAGCCTGTTCAACCTCTCTTTCGTAACGTCTGAGATCCCCAGAGATTGGAAAGCTGCCGCGGTCATCCCCCTCTTCAAAGGGGGTGACACTCTAGATCCAAACTGTTACAGACCCATATCCATCCTGCCCTGCCTTTCAAAAGTTTTTGAAAGCCAAGTCAACAAACAGATCACCGACCATTTCGAATCCCACCGTACCTTCTCCGCTATGCAATCCGGTTTCCGAGCTGGTCATGGGTGCACTTCAGCCACGCTCAAGGTCCTAAACGATATTATAACCGCGATCGATAATAGACAGTACTGTGCAGCCGTTTTCATTGACCTGGGCAAGGCTTTCGACTCTGTCAACCACCGCATTCTTA